GAAATATTGCGAGAAATTCTGTCCTGGGCTTCCTGCTACATACTGGCTGTTCATGGGTTTTCTATATTCCTGCCCCAATACCACTATCACCTCATCTATGAAATGAAATACCATGTCAGATCTGGAAGGAACCTCTGATGGAACCTAGTTCAATCCGGTCATCTTATGAATTTGTAGATAGAGGGCCAGAGTGGTTACAAGACTTGCTGAAAGTCATTGGGGGTCAACAGAGGAAAGCCAAGAATACAAGTCCCATAGTTTTGGTCTTCTGAATTATCCATCTTACCACGCTACTGCTTGGAAAGCGTGGTGCACGTGCCATACAGTTTCCCCAAATCTTGGGATTCTAGAACAAAGTTTTGGTCAGACTCTGGGGTATCAGAAGGAGATTAGGATATTGACCTCAGAACAGTTTCTGAACTAATATCATCACGTTTTTAGTGTGGGGCAAAGCTCAATTAAATCCTTCCTTGTCACTAAATATTATAGATGTTTTGGGATGTCCCATACTTTTTTTCTTCGAATATCCTTTTATGAGATTTATTGAAAGTTTATTGAAAGAAAAGCATCCATTGAGGAGCTGTTTTCTTGTCTCCAAAATGAGAGTTTGGGGTAGAATTACCTAGAAGGTCCATTTCCACTTTAACAGGCTCTGGTTCCTTTTTAAATCTGTAAAATGCCAGTGATCACAGTGAGGAAGTGTGTGCTTGGCCTCAGAATCTTCTGTCCGACTTTCAGTCCTGATTGTAATTGACTCTTGTTGTCAGCACCTCCTGTGGATCCTTCAGGGTGGTAGATGCTCAGGTTAGCTGCAGCTGCAACAGCATAACCTCACTCATTTCTCAGGAGCCATCCAGTTTCTCAGATACTGAAAAAGGCTGGAAACTGTGAGAACGATTCTGCAGAGATCCCAGGAAATAGAAAACAAAAAGGTGCCTGGTTGGGCATCCTCTGGGGAACAGCTCATGGCAAGTTTGTTAGTGAGCATGCTGTTTTAGCGACAGAGAAGAGAAGCCATTTTCGGTTGCAACTCAGTAAAAACTAGAAGACACAAGAAAACTTGAACATCTACCTCCTAGATCTATTTCATATAAAGCTGTTGAGTCTTCTCAATAGACAGTTCTTTAAACTGATTGTAGACAATTTAATAATTCTCACATATTGATTTTTATTCAGTGCACAGTAGTAGATGCATGGTATTTTACGTAAGGGTTGGGATGACTACCTGTCCCTGTGCCCTGCGTCTGAAGACTCAGAGGTAGCTTTGCAGGACATCTCTTTTGGCTTTTAGAATGCACTTTCTTCATTGAGGTCACATCCAATCCTATGATAAAACTTTCTCTGAAGCAGCCAGAAATTTATTATCCGAAGTTCAGGATTTAATTATTTTCTCTTTCTGGCTGTAACTCGAATATTTATCACAAGAGAGGAAATGTTTTATGACTTTGCCCTATGCTATGGCTTCTACATGTCAATTTGGTTTTTTTGTCCATTAAAAGATGGTTATGGACAAAAGTTTCTTTTCTGGAACCAGCCTCACTAGTTTGCTGTCTTGGCCTATAGGATTTATAGATATTTCTTTCAATTTATATAGATTTAAGTATTCATGGTGCTAGGTCTCCAATCTTATTGAACATCAATTTTTTTGGAATCTGAAAACAAAAACAAAAACAAAAAACATTGCAGATACTAAGATTCTTCCATGGAACTACAAAATCACCACTTCTTTTCCCTGGATTTAAGTCCCGAGTTAAGGTTTTTCAAAGCTGCCGAAGTGTCTCTATTGCTCACCCATGGCTGAGAAAGCCTGCCCTTCGGCAGTAAATTATGGAGTGAGGAGCTGATGAAAGAGATTAGGCTTGTAAGAGAGGTGGGAGGACAAAAGCATAGTTAAAGGTGTGGGCAGGTGCCCGTGTGCACAGTGTGATTTCTCAGAGCCTCCTAACGTAAGATTCAGGCATGAAATATGTGACCTTTTGGCTTAAAATAGTGTATATTGTTGAAATGGAAATGCCTGTGAATCATGTTTGATTGGTTCATCAGAGCTTACCTGAGAAGATACTGTGATGGGAAAAGATCTGGAAAAAAAACAAATGGAGGAGTGAAGAGGTGTTGCTGAAGGAGAAAACACATTTAGCAGGGCATCTTGGATACAGCAGCGGCTGAACGGACCTTGCTGCTTGGTTTGCTGTTGTTTCAGAGAAAGCTGCTCAAAACAGAGAGGAACTATTAAATGTGCTATGGTTTTCCTTCACATACCCTACTGAGAACCTGCTTGGCTTCAGCCCAGCTAAGCTGCTGGCTCCAGAACGTGGAAGAAAGCCAAGAGGAAAGCAATCGTATGGCTTGAGGGTCTAGGCCGGCACTGAGTTGGGAGGGCTCATCTAGGTCCAATCTGAACATTTCACTCTGACTCCTTAGGGTGCCCCAGGCAGTCTCCAAGAGTTCAGTTTCCCTGTATGTCAAACCAAGACAAACACTCAACTTTCCACCTACGTGGGGCATTGTTATATGTCACTTCTGCCATTCTCATCAATATTTGAAAAGAAAACTTTGAGAAGTTTCAAGACAAGCACCTTTTACTATTAGCATTGTCATCCTGTTCTCCAAGCTTACATAGCGTTAGACAGGCAGGACAATGCTCTGCAGGGTGAGATCACGAAATCCCAACTTAGAGAAACAATGGCTATCCTGAAGAGAAGCAGGATCAGGGTTTTCAGATTGGGGTGCAAGGGAGGGAGGTCTAAAATTGGTACCAGATGCCATCAGAAGCTAACGACCTGACAAAAACCATCCTCATAAAACAAATTCTTTAAAAAGGAAGCAAACGGAAATATAAGCTAGTAAAGGAATTTGCAGCAGTTGGCTTAAAACCATTTCTCACTTCATAAACAGGTCTGGGCTTGGTCCTTTCCTTGGAGTCTTTTTGGTTGTATTTCACACTGCTCCTCCTCCTCCCTGGTGGGTGGAGCTGCACGGGCTTTCCGGTTGGCGTCCACAGCAGCAGCAGTGGCTCCTGAAGCTTTGTCCTTGGAGTTGCTCACTTGGAGTATCTGTTTTGTGTTGTGTCTCAGCGTGTATTTGTCCTCAGAGATGCCGTAGATTGATTAGATGAAGTCACTAGGAAGCAGTGCGGGCTCTTCCACCCTGATCTCTTGGTAATACACTGACACCAACCAGAAGAAAGGACTCTTTTTCAGTGTGTGAAAGAATGTATTATGTTTTGGATATCAATGGCATGTGGCATCCATGGAATTTTTAACATAATTAAGGAGGCATTCTAATTTCATCCCGTAAAAGGTGGTCACTAGTCAGCTTCTTTATCAAGATATGCCGAATGGGACAGCAAAAACATTTTCTTAGTCTCCCCTTCCCCTAGACTGTGAGCTCCTTTAGGGTGTGGTCCTTATTAAACTGCCAATACTCAGACCAAATCATTGCAAATAATAATATTCGTTAATCCATTGTTAATAAATGCGTAGAGCAAGATACTTGGATCATTGTTTCATAAAGGTAGGTTTATATTTCAGAACACTATGAACTTTAACTGATGTTCTTTTTGGAGGCCTAGACTTACTTTGCTGTTTATACTATGAATAAATTTGATTTGACAAATTTTTATTAGCTATGTTGTAGAAAGGTATTTGATGGATTAAAAAACTTATTCTGAATAGTAAAGGGGAAATTTTAAATTCTTACAAAGTGCAAGAAAGTCACATTTTTTTATCAAAGAAACTAGAATAAAACAGGAACTTTAAAAATAATATCGAATGAATATTTTTTCTTCAAGAAGCTCAAGATCCAGTCAGGAGATTCACCACTTAGGAGACACTCAGATACTAATTGCCTAGTGGATAAAAGGATAGGTAATTACAGAGCAAGAAAATGCGTACATGACTATAAGACACAGAGAAATGTCAGGAGGCTGTTATCTTTAACATCCCGCTGGGACACAGATTTCTAGGATTTTTTTGGGAAAGTAAGGCCTGTTAGAAATATCCACAAATGAGCACAGGTACATGCTAGGATTGTTAAGTAGAATGATGACAACAGAGGGTGCAGCACCTGGGCCTGGAGCAGCAAGCAACACAGGAAACTAAACTGGGGACAGAACAGATCCATGAAACACGGACCCTTCCATTCTGTCTATAGAAGAAGTCAAAACACAGGGGAAAAAAGTAGTTCTCAGTCTTGCAGTTAATACAGGGTGGGGCCAGAATTCTAACCCAGAAAGCCTGGGACCAATGTCATAGTTTTCATCCGTAGGGTTTTGCATGATGGTAACTCTTTGCACCACTGCCTCTTTGCTGCTGTTGGGATCCTGGCTGAGCCTCCTTGAACCAATGGATCTGTATTTTTCCCTCCCTATCTTGGTTGATTTTGGCCCTGGTGATCTGGGCAGCAGTTCTCTGCTGACATGTTTGGAAGCACTCATTCAAAATCAGAAATGGGGTGGGGATTCAGTACATGTGAGTTTTCTTTAATGAGCTCAGTTAGCTCTGTTTAACCTGTGTTTATATTCAGCGGTGTGTGTGTATACCTATGGATGTCTCAGTGTCAAAGTTATTTCCATATCAACCAGTAAGGAGAAATTTTTTTCCTACCACTTCTGTTGTTCAGACTCTTCATCCAGACACCTGCAGCATTTGTTCCACAGCTGTGTCCTGTGCCTGTTATTCATGGGGATGTCATTTTTATGCCCCGTGATCGTTCACTGAACATCATACAGAACTCCTGGCATTGCTGCCTGCCTCATCCCATCACCATTTTAGTTTCCCAGCAGAGCCATTCAAAGTCTGGTCACTGTTTTGTTTTTCCCCCTTCTGCTTTTATTTATCATCTAGGTAATGTAGAAGAAGATGGTGATTTGAATGAGGTTTATGGGGAAAAAATATCATTGTCTCTATTTCAGGGGCCCTTCACAGTGGGATCTGCATGGTCATTGTTGTTGCCCCTGGGTTCTCACCCAGTCCTAAGATGCCTCTGTTTGTTATCTCCAGCTGTGTCCACCGGCCCTGTGGGGATCACGACAGCTGTGCACCACTGCTCCTTGACCACACAGACATGGTGAACTGTACCTCTCATGGCCCAGGTCACATGGAGTGTGCTATCACCTGCCAAAGAGGGTTTGTTCTTCAAACCAGCAGTGGGAAGTATCTCAGACCCATTCAGGTGAGTTGGAAGCACATGGTCATTGAGACCCAGGCCCTGGGGAAGGAAGCTCTTTAAGCTCTTTTCTATGGCTGGATTGGAGAAGGGCTCAAAAGAGGAACCAGTGGGAACTCTAATCAGCAAAGGGAAGCAGGATGAAAGAGTTTGTGCAGCTCTGATTAACTAGGGGACATAAATTATCTCTCCAGGTGGGCAGTGAGTACATGTTTTTCTTTCCCGTGTTTTTAACCTTTTGGTTAAAAATTATGTTTCCCACTTTTACCTTCAAGATGACAAAGCTACAATTTAGACCTGTCCTTAATTAAAAGGCCAACTGGGTTACAATCAACTAATGCAATCAATTGTCCGTTTGTCCTCCTCAGCCCTCACTATGAGAGCTGAATAGACAGCGCTGAAACTGCATATGTTCTCAGGGAACAGATTCTACTATGATTCTATTCTGGCTTTATTTTCCAGATTTCTGCAACTCACCTTTAAAATCTGGCAGCACCTTTTTTTTCCCAGGCTGTCAAGGGGATATAGAGGTAGTAGAACGTATTTAGAGTGTGACTCAGGAAGCAGATCTTCATGAAATTTCAACTCTGCCATGTATTAGGTGTGCAATTTTGGGTCAAAGCAAACAACAAAAAAATTAATCTCTTGCTGTTTGTTTCCACATTTGCAAAATAAAAAGAGTAAAGGGACTGAAGTCATTGGGTTACTCTGGGGACAGATTAAAAATGAGTCTGAAAGCTACTGACACAATAATAGGCACATAGATAGGCTGCCATCATTATGAGCACAATAATGCATTCTCAACTAACAACTTTCCGTTCATGCTTTCCTTCAGAGTGTAGAATGCTTTACAGATGAACTTGAAGCATGAAACCAGCCATTAGAAAACAAGACTTTAGAATGGAATAAAGGATTCACTGGATAGAAGATAGTGGTGCTTATAAAGCAAAAAGGGAAGATATGGGTTCAGGAGGACACATGGCCACATGATTGTTAGTCAGATATCAATGGTGTAAAAGGCTAAATTTCCCCCCATTTTGTGCCAGTTGATTGCTTAACAGGTTATGAACTTGTGAGAGCATTTCATTTGGATAGTCCAAGTTTAAAGACAAGATATTGTATTTCAGGTGGCTTATATTTTGCCTCAAGGCGCTGACTTCTTGGTCCATGATACTGTGAGTCAGAACAACAGAGTTCTTTTCATCTACTGCTATCTCATCTCAGAGCTTTGTCTACTTTAGAAAGAGATTGCTTCTCAGACTTTTGGCTGAGATCAAGTGACTAGAAATGAATTGGAGAGGAATGAAAAAGTAAAAGCAAAAAGGTACGACCTGAATATACTTCTGTGATAAGTAACGAAGGGAGAGCAAAAAAGACAAGGCTTACAATATGTCAAAATTAGGAGCAAATTGAAAACAAAACAGATAGTACACGGCAAAGCCAGGAGAAAAACCAGGCAACACAGTTAGGTTAAGAGATGTTCTTCAAATAATTAGTGGCTTGAGCCAGATGGCCAGGCTGTGATAAGTGTGTAAGGGGCAGAATCTGGTCTTGAAAGGGAAGATGGGACTTATTTGCCAACCAGATGTTGGAATCAGCAACGGTGCTGTCCTGCTCACCACGCTTCTGTCACCCGTGGCTGGTTCTATGAAAAAAAAAAAAAAAACAGCCCTAGCTCATCATCACAAGACAGTAGGGATATTTGCCTTTTGTTGACACAAGAACTGAAACTAAAAAGAAAAATGTGTCTGGCTTTGAACTGGGTCCCTCTGGCAGGCAGCAGGGAAACACGAGGCAGCGACGAGAAGCAGCCAGTCAGGAGTCACTGTTGGGTGACAGGTGCCGTTGGCAACCATAGAATTATGGAGTTGGTGTTGCCATTGTCTCCTGGAGGGATGACTGTCTCAGGCACAGAGACTTCCTTCTGTGATTTTGATCGTTGGCATCCCAGGTCCTAAAGTAACTGCCATAGTTTCCCCAAGCAATCCAGGAGCTGACAGGTCTCTAGACCCTTGGTCATTCCATTGCCCTCACCCCGGACATCCTCATACCTTCCTCTTACAGCTAAGAAAGCCTGATCATGTTCAGAGATCATATCTTCCCCATGTAATTGTTCTTGACGATTTCCCCAGATGTACTTTCTCCCTGCTCAGTGAGAGCAGTCCCTATTTCAGCCCCTGTGGTGCCTTTGTGTCACCACACAGGAGCACAAAGGGACTTTCAGTTTGGACTGGAGCAAAGGTGGCTGTTGTTTATCAGGGTGCTATGTTTGAATATGGGCTTCCCTGTCAATTCCAGCTTCCTCTTGATGCATACTTTGGGTATAGCTGTAATGACACAGCTGTTGTGTCCCTGTGACCATTGTAGCCAGCCTGGACTGAATTCTCATCTCAGTCTTAGGCCTGGTCCAATATCAGAAGTTTTAGGCATTTGAGAAATAAATCAGAGAAAGCAATAACTTTCGCTTCCTAGACAAGTAAACAATCTTTTGAAAGTTTATTTTCATCAGGGCAATCCCATCTTTTATCTTCAGTTTTCCATGAACTTCTTGAAGTCCCTTTGTATAATGTATACATGGCTTTATTTTTATGCTATTTCTTTACTTATTCTCAATTTTCTATTTCTTTTATCACTGCATTCTTCTTTTAACTTTTTTTAAGATTTATTTTTATTATTTTTTCATTGGAAAGGCAGATATACAGAGAGGAGAGACAGAGAGGAAGATCTTCCGTCCGATGATTCACTCCCCAAGTGAGCGCAACAGCCGATGCCATGCTGATCCGAAGCCAGGAGCCTCTTCGGGGTCTCCCACATGGGTGCAGGGTCCCAAAGCTTTGGGCCATCCTCCACTGCTTTCCTGGGCCACAGGCAGGGAGCTAGAAGGGAAGCGGGGCTGCCGGGATAGAACCGGCGCCCACATGGGATCCCGGGCGTGCAAGGCGAGGACCTTAAGCACTGTGCCACCGCCGGGCCCTCGTTTAACTTTTTTATTTGGAAGTCAGATATAAAGAGAGGAGGAGAGGCAGAAAGAAAGGTCATCCATTTGCTGTTTCACTCCCAAAGAGGCTACAATGGCCGGAGCTCAGTGGATCCAGAACCAGGAGCTCAGAGCCTTTTCTTGGTCTCCCACATGGGTGCAGGGTCCCAAGGCTTTGGGATGTCCTTGATTTATTTCCCAAGCCACAGGCAGTGAGCTGGTAGGAAGTGGTGCCAACAGGATTAGAACTGGTGTCCATATGGGATCCCGGCATGTGCAAAGTGAGAACTTGAGCTGCTAGGCCACCGCACATGGCCCTGTCATTGCATTCTTTATAGTGAATACTTTTCTGTAATTAAACACAATGGTGGATTGTAATGAATCAATGTAGATTCCCACCAATATGCTTCCTTCTTTGCTGAATCCTTTTCTTCTCCTTTTATCCAGTGCTCCTCCTTCTGACTTCTCCTGAGTCAGTGTTTCAACATGTGATTTGCTGTTTTGGCCACTTCTTAGCTCCAGAGGGACACTGTTCATTATAAGTCTTGGTCCTTGCTCCCAGACTGCCCTACTGAAATGATAGCCCCTAGGAAAGGGCAAGAACTTATCAAGATTCACTGCAAGATCTGCATAGTGCTTTGGATGCAGTCGTTTTCAGCTGTGTTGAGATATCTGAACCATTCTCAATGATATTTTCAATAGTAGTGTTCCCTTGCTTATGAGTGAAGTGTCAGCAAGAAACATTTGACACATTCAAATAAAGGAGGCTTTTCAAAGAATTTAACAAAAGGACTCCTTACAAAGGTGTAGGGAGAATCTCGAGAAAGCACCAGGAGATGGTGCAATATCCCAGGATGCAGGGGTCATTCTGACAAATAGACTGCGGGGAGTACAAGAGCCCCTGGAAGGAAGGGCGGATCCTGCAGGGAGAGAACTGCTGGGTGATGCAGGAAAAGCAGCAGCCTCTTCTGGAAGAAGGAAAACCAAGCCCCTGGCATCCATCTCCCGCTTCCTCTCCAGTATTCTGAACACAGGACAGGTTGGAGTCATTCCTGGGGACAAAGAGGGTAAAGAGAGTACAGTGGGACTATCTGGAAGAGCAAAGGCAGGGCAAGCAGCAAATCTGGTGCACAGAAGCCCTGGCCGTCAGTGACTCTCACATAGTAGCAGACAGGGTTCATCATTCGGCATCAGGCTTGGGCATGGGCAGATGAAGTATGAAAACCAGGAGGAATAAACAAGAAGAACACCACAATAATTTTGTCTGTCCCCAATAGGTGGACAAATACTCGATGGGTTGCTTTCAAAGTCTGGGAACTACAAATGTTCTGATAAACCTTTTTGTGTGAACTTGACAAAGCTGACATTTCTGTTTCTAGAAGGAAATCCTGCTCACATGCTCATCTGGTTACTGGGACACGGTTGTGAGTTGCACGCCTCTGGACTGTGGCATTCCTGACTCATCTTTGGTGAACTATGCCACCTTCTCCTGCTCAGAAGGAACCGGATACTTGAAACGCTGCTCAATATCTTGTGTCCCACCAGCCAAGCTTCAAGGTACTGTCTAGATGATCAGGAACTACACGTAAATTCTCTTCAGCCCCGCATTCACTGAGACACGACAAGCCCCTTTGCAAACACCTTCCCACTGGCTCTGTTGTGTTACCCTCCTCTGTGATATCGGCAATGAGGAGCATCACTACTCCTTGTTTCTGACTACTTAAAAGGTATACCAGCTCAGGACCTCTTGAAGGAGCCTTTCTTCTGTTTTTAGTGGACTTTGTGCACCCAGCATCAAACCAACCAGTAAAATTGCCGTGATATGATTTGTCATCTAGAAATATTAAACCATGCCTATTTTGAAATGTAATATTGCAATCACCTATGAGTTAGATGTATTTATTTCTATGTTAAAAGTAAGAACACATTTACGCAAAGGGAGTTCAAAAACTTCATGGAGGAATAGTGGGTGTTGTGGGGCAATGGGTTGAATTACCATTTATGATACTTGATTCCCATATGGGGTGCTGGTTTGAGTCCTAGCTCTTTCCTAACCCCAGTTTACTACTCATGCTTGCTGAAAGGCAGCACGAGGCAACTCATGTGCTTGGACCCCCAACATCCTCATGCATGGGAGATCATGGGCTGATTTCCAGGGTGCTGCCCTTGGTGTGCACAGCCCTGGCTATTGCAAACATTTAGGTAAATGAAACAGCAAGTGAAAGATCTCTCTCAAGTCATGGAAAATGTTACATATATATATGAATATATAAATGAATATCCATACATTGATTTTAAGATGTTTTTCACCAAATAAGTGTACCTTTTCATTCCACTTTTCAATGGATTTCTTAAAGTCTCCTTATAAGATTTGTACCCAGCTATACTGTCGGTTAGCAATGAAGATGAACTCTCATTGTTGCTCTTGACTTTACAATGTGCCCAACAAGTACACAGGAGACTTGTTCCAAATGTAGTTTCTGCACCTTATCCAAGAGATTATGATTTACTGGATCTGGGATGGGTGATGTCACCACTGTGAGAAGTCCATTCTGTGTCTCTGAGAGAAGCAATGACATATGTAGGGCTCTGGGCTATGATATTTAAGTATAGATTTTCACAATCAGACGGAGTTCAAATCCTGACTCTGTGCCTTACAACTCAGGGAAATTACAAAAATTCTAACTTTCTCATTTGCACAGTAAGAAGGAATAACAGGATTTATGTCTTTGGGTTTCCTTGAGGTTTGAGGTTTACAAGAGTTAACCCTCATAAAAGACTTGAAACAGTGCCTGGCAATGGTATGCATTATTAAAGTATTGTCAATTATTACCTTGGTGCTTCCATGATGCTCTCTGATATATTTTATTATTTATAGATAGGAAGTGAGGTAATGATTTGATAATAGCCATTCTTTTGTTCATATTGAGAAATGGTTATCTGACTCTAACTCTGTAATGGGGACCATGGGAGTCTTCCGTAGGTAACAAGGTGTCAGATGAGCATTTGAAGTAAGAATCCAGAGATCCTACTCAACAATAACATGCATTTCAAAGAATGCCAGTTAGTTGTCTGATTTCCACTTCTGTGTCTGGACTCTGTTCTCAACACCCCATGCTTCTCTTTCCTGGATCAGGACGGAACCCATGGCTGACATGCCTCGGAGACGGACTCTGGTCTCTCCCAGAAGTGTACTGCAAGCTAGAGTGTGACGCTCCTCCGGTTATTCCAAATGCCAACTTGCTCCTGCCTCACTGCCTCCAGCGCAACCATGATGTGGGCACCATCTGCAGATACGAGTGCAAACCAGGCTATTATGTAGAGCCCAGTGTGGGGAGCAACAGCAGGAGGTGAGTCGGAGTGCCCCTGTCTTCCAAAGTCCTTCCTCCTCTCACCTCTTGTCCTTGTTCCCTCCCTCTTAGAAATCCCACATTCCTGTTTTGGAGATAATATGAAGACCTTTTGGGCTGCCCATTGCTTGAATGTTTGTTTTTCTGTATCTCTCTTCGTTTGTTGCTTATTACAACTGGTGGATGACTTGCAGTGTTTTCTAAAGATATTGTCTCCTGAGGGAGAGGCCAGGGTGTCAGGTAGGTGCTGCTTGTTTGTTGCTGTTTTAAATTCAACAGTGATTGTCAGAATTGCAACCTCTCATGTGTCCCATGTCACCTGACTCTCACTCTGTCCTGGCGTATCCTCTTTCAGGATGAGTAATCTACTCTCAGGCTCTGGGAGAAACCACCTAACTGGTCCCCATTGATACATCTTTGTAGTTTTGTCAGATTGGGAACTTTCTCTGACTCAGTTTTAGCATTTGTCAAACGGAAACCGGCTTACTTGGCTTTGCGCTGCTGTAAAACAGCGCCATAGAAACTTATGGGTTTGCAGTTCTGAGGCTGGGAGGGCCCTCTTGAGGGTCTGTCCTGGGCTCAGGGTTCTGGGGCTAGGAGAGCCCTGTTGAGGGTCTGCCCTTGCGCTCACGGTTCTGGGACTGGGAGGGCCCTGTTGAGGGTCTGCCCTTTGGCTCACGGTTCTGGGGCTCGGAGGGCTCTATTGAGGGTCTGCCCTTGCACTTGTGAGGGTCTTTGTGCTGTGTTACATACACCTTGCCAGAGAGCATGATATAGAGAAGAGAGCAGGAGATTGAACTTATAGCCTTGTGTGCATCTTTAGTTGGTATTCATTCATTCATTCACTAAAGTGGAACCCTCATGGCCCAAACACCTCCTGTTGAGCCCCAAATCCCAGCACTGTTACATTGAGAATAACTGTCAACATGTCTTTTTTTGCGGGGGGGACACATTCACACAAGGCCAGAAACGACAATAACATTAACATCTATCTGGTAGGGCTCATGTAGAGACTAAATGAAATAATGTGTGTAAAATATAAAACTTTGTATATTAATTTTTGAAAGTATATGTCAACACATGTAAGTCATTGCTGTTGTGATGATGGTCTTGTCTTCACCTTCCTGCTCATTATGTGTGTAAAACTCCTAGGCTCATAGCTAGGAGTGGTGCACGGTATATGTCAATCGCTCAACAAAACGGTTTCAGAAAAATACTTTCTGAACAGGCAAAACAACCAAAAAACATTTAGAGAAGAAATCCCCACAGATTTGATAAATGGTAGTGGCTCTTTTCCTATGATCTCTTCTGTAAGTACAGGAGAAAATCAAATCCATTTGTTTTCCAGGACTTATTCAAAGAATGGCCATCTTAATTGTTATGATTTTTTTTTAAACTAACAATGGCATGGGATTACCAATGGTGCCAGGAGATAGAAACTTTGCTTGTAAATTACAGTTGTCTAAGAGGGCAGAAGAAAATGAGGCAGCTTCCTCTCTAGCTCACTACCACCCTTTCTCTGTATTCTCATCTTTGCTTACGTAGGCTTCCATGCCTTCCACACCAGGAAAGGCCCAAAGACAGCTCCTTTCCTTCCGACTTAGCCAAAGGGAAGAATCAAACTCACTAGAACCTGAGGTTATGAATGGTGTATTCATGGTAGGCAGCACTCAGATTCTGTGTTTTTTCAAAACTAGTTTAGAGAACCAACAGCACATAGCACATGATTTTCATAGAATCCAAATGCAATGACCATAGTTACACATGGACGGATGGTGAATGCTCAGGTAGTCTTCGAGTAAGAATGCTATTCCAACTGGCCTGAACCTTACTTTTTTTTTTTTCTTGTTTTGCTTTTTCTCTCTCTTATGTTTCTTTGACACAGCAGAAGCCATTTCAGACATTTGCAGAATAGTTTGGTGAAGAATGAATGAGGAAGAGAGAAATGTCTTGGGACTAGGAGAAATTAAGGGTAGAGACGTAGAGACGTACTTCGCCAGCACTCCGGGTCCATGGTTGAGCTTGATGTTGGAAAAAGCGAGTCTTCCGAAGGGAAGATGGCCGACGTAGGAGAAAGGCTATGAGGGAGAGTTCAGTGAGAGAAGGTTAGAGTGCTGCAGAGGCAGCGAAGAGGAGCGGCAGGAAACCGTAGGGAGAGGTCCGTGAAACTCCCTGGGACAGTGTGGAGCCAAAAAGTTCCACACAACTCGGAAGAACAACGAGAACGGAGCAGGGCAAAGGTAGAGAAGCCGACATCCCACTCCAGACCTGCTGAGTCACCTTTGAGAGCGGCCTGACGGGAGACGCGGCCAGCTTGGAGACAGGGAAATCGGAGGGATCGTCGCCGGCGGAATTCTTCAACAACAGCAGAAGCAGACTGCAGCAGCCGGACTTTGGTGAGCTGGGGATTAACGTGGCAGCCTCCGCATTCCCCACCCCCTGCTGAGGCTCCAGCCTCTGAGAACACAAGGGGCGCAACCTGAAACTGTCAGGTCTGTGCCTTGGGAACAGCGGTGCGTGTTGGTGGCTGAAAAGGTCCCGGGAAAGCGCCTCAGATCTTCCTGCGCTAAGTGGGCCAGTGCATCTCAGCGCGCGGAGGCTGCTGGTGGGAGTCTGGAATCCCCGACACCCTGAAACCCTGTGGGTGGGCGACAGCACCAGGAGGACTCTGAGCGCCGCGCCGGGCTGGGCTAGGCGGTCCCGCCTGCAGCAGCCGCCTCCGTAGCGCAGGAGTCAGGAGGGTGCTGAACTGGGAAGTGTAGCGCTGTGTGTCCCTGACACGCAGATGCCACTCCCATAGTGTGAACTGTCCATTCCTCGCCTCCCACCCCGCAGTCCTGAGTGTAGGCGACACACCGGGAGAGCTCTGAAATCTCCTGTGCCACACTGGCACTGTGCGATCCCGCTGAGAAGTTATTTTAACAGGGCGCCTGGGTCACACCTCCTCTACGGTCCTGTGAGGAGGAGCCACACACACACCACGAGTGGTGGAATCACTGCACAAGAGCCACGCCCAGAAAGTGCCTCAACCACAGTCTTGTGTGTGGGAGACACACCAGGCGGGCTCTGAAAAACCCTGCAGTCCCTGACAAGGAGAACGCAGGGAGAAAGCACATAAAACCTTCTACGTCCTGTGGATTCCCGTGCAGGGGGCGCGCCCAGAGAGCGCCTCCATCCCTCCACGCCCTGCGGTGGCACACCTGTAGAAGAGGTGCCCAGAGTGTGCCTGGAATCCACTGGGCCCCCAAGGTGGTGCTCTACAGCCCCGGGCCCTGAGAACGCACCAACGGTGCCTTGAAAATTACCACGCCCGGCAACACCACGCTTGCAGGCTCCAATCTCTACAGGAAAGCACCTGACAGCCCCTCAACACACGGGTCCATTTGCCTTACCAGAATACACCAACGCAATGGGAAAAACCACTAGAAAGAGCTGTGCTCCAGATGAAAGAGCCAGCACCCCACCAAACATGGGCCAAAAGCCATTATCAATATCGGCGATGCGAGATGAAGACATGGACGTGTTACCAGCAAAGGAATTGATGAAAATAATGCTAAAATTTCTCAGAGACGTGGACACAAAGCTGGAAGACTACCAGAACCGCATAATCACCGAAATACAACAAATCAAAACCAAACTGGATGCCCAAGAGAATAAAATTGAAAGCCTCATCAACAGAATAAATGCGGCAGAGGAAAGGATCTCTGAAACAGAAGACACACAAAATGAAAGTGCCCAGCGAATTAAACAGCTAGAGACAAACCTCAGCAAAACTAATAAAATGATGCAAGAGATGAAGGATTACCTTAGAAAATTGAATATTCGGATCATCGGCCTCCCCGAGGGAGTAGAAAGAGAATCTGGGATGCAAGCAGTGCTTGATGAAATTATACAGGAAAACTTCCAAAACACTTGGAACACGAATCCACCCCGCATACAGGATGGACAGAGAACTCCCAACAGACATGATCCAAAGAGATCTTCACCCAGACACACGGTGCTCAAGTTCTACTCCAATGAAGACAAAGAAGGAATCCTGAGACAAGTACGAAGTAGAGAAAAGATCACATACAGGGGAAAACCCATCAGAATTACTGCTGACTTCTCCGAAGAGACCCTACAAGCAAGGAGAGAATGGACAAAGATCTTCCAAGTCCTGAAACAAAACAACTGTCAACCAAAAATAATCTACCCAGCAAAGATCTCATTTGTATTTGAGAACGAAATCAGATACTTCAATAGCAAAGAAAAACTAGAAGAATATGTCTACACAAAACCAGCCCTGCAAAGTCTCCTTAGAAATGCGCTAGTCCCGGACAAAAAGGAGGCAAATCACAAACAAAGTTGGCAAATAAGAAGGTCTCCAAACTAAAGGCCGCACAAACAAGACAACTACATAGGCAACAACACATACACAACACAAACACATGGCAGGGCAAAATTGCAACCTCTCAATTTTAACTCTCAACACAAATGGTCTAAATTCACCAATCAAAAGACAGAGATTAATAGAATGGATCATCAAACAAGACCCAACCATCTGTTGCCTACAAGAAACGCATCTAACCAGAAAGGATGCAAAGAAACTGAAAGTGAAGGGATGGAAAAAGATATTTCACGCTAATGGACGAGAAAAAAAAGCTGGGGTAGCTATCCTAGTTTCAGACGAGATAGATTTCATTCTAACTAACATCAAAAGAGACAGGGAAGGCCATTTTATACTGGTGAAAGGAATGATCCATCAAGAAGCAATCACCATCATTAATGTTTATGCACCGAATCTTAATGCACCTAGTTACGTAAAGCAATTACTTACAGACTTAAGGGAAGACATAGACACCCGCACAATTCTTGTAGGCGATCTCAACACACCTCTAACAACAATGGACCGGTCTACGAAACAAAAACTCAACAAAGAAACAACAGAGCTCACACAAACAATAGAACAACTGGACTTAGTAGACATATATAGAACTTTTTATCCTAAGGCCACAGACTAT